AGGGCTGAATTACTTTGGTCTGAGACACCAGGCCCCTACTGCTTCTCCAATCCTAGGCTGTAACAGCCCCTCTGGAAATCTGATTTTCTAGGAACTGAGGGCAAACACAAGAGAAAAGCATTCCGCTGTTGATGCTGTGCTGAGGAATGCTTTATTTTCTTTTATTTCCTTTCCGGGAAACTGTCCAAGTAAGATCCAGCTCCTTGTGCAGCCCCTAGAGCTGAGTGGCTTCTCAAAGTGCCATAGCGCGAGTGTTGGGCTCTGTGGAGGCTGAAGTCACCTGTGTCCACCTCCTGGACAATACTTAATCCTTATTAACTCTTTATGATTTAATCTGAAGTATTAATGATTAGTTTGCTTTATCTTCTTAAGGAGCTCAAGTGACTTTACATAACTGTGGCCTTTTCTACATTAGCAAGCTTTGTTGTCCACTGCTAAGAGCGTGAAGGAGGGGGATGATGTGGTGAGTACTCAGAGCCACCAGGTCCCTGTGCTGTTCTGGAGCAGAAAATTTGTCACTGGCACAGATGGCATAGCTCAAAACTTGATTTAGTTAACTCTGGTTTTGGTCACTGACTGCTTCCAGCTTGAGGCAAAGGCCACTGGAGTTGTTTGAGAGTTTCTCTGAAAGAAATATCGAACAATTCTGAGCCCTGGGAGTGGAGAGAGGCCCTTGGTTTCATCTGCTCTCCCCTTGAAATACATTTTAGTCCCAGTGTCTGGGCTTAGTGAAGTATTATCCTTTTGTTTTATTTAAAAAAGAAAAAAAGAAAACAGGTTTTTTTGCAGCTGGTGTGAAGCAGCAGGTAGTGAGGCACAGCCAGAAATGGAGCTCAGGGGGCTGGGCACTGCAGCAGCTCACCCTGCTGTCCTTGGCCTTAAAAACAAAACAAAAAAAATCCAACAAAACCACCCATCTGCAAGGATTCCTTACTGACATTGGTGAAAAGGTTCAGAGTGACCCCCTGTCCCACTGGCCAGAAGAGACGTGGCTCAGTGTCAGCCAGAACCCTCCACTCCTCTGGCAGAACAAAAGGTCTCGAGCAGCAGCGGTGAAGGCAGCCTGTAACCCTGCACGGGCTGCTGGGCAGAGCCTGACGGGGCAGCAAACTGACTTCTCTTTTTGTGGCTTCTCTTCTGCTTAACCGTGTTTATCCTCCTCCACAGCACACTTTTCAAGGTGGGAAGGCACACCTTGGCTTTTGTGTGCCCCACCACGAAAGCTGCGCTGCAGGATCCTGACTGTGCAGAGGAATTCAGTGTTCTTAACAGCAGAACACGTTAAATCACTGTTAAACCAGTGCAAGTATTAACAGCAAAACTTGCTAGAAATCCTGGGTATTGCTCAAGATCTGTGTAGCCAACCACTAATGAGGTTGTTGAGATTCTGTCCAGATTGGTGAGGTGTAGTTAATTTAGCAAGTGGAACAGATTCATGAGGGAAAAAAATAAATCTGATAATTTATTTGCATTTAGGAGAACTCAAAAGGAGAGAAGAGTGTTCAGGGTAAATACAGTTTCTGCCTGGGATGTTTGATCCTAGCCTGTGCTTGGACAAACTGAGCAAGCAGGGTCATAAATTTGGAAAACATTTGACTTAGTCCTGTGCCTTCCTCAAAAACAGTTAAATTGGAAAAATTGCTGCACTTACAGGCCTTGGAAAATATTTTTCCCTACATGTGGCTTTGTGGTTTCAAAGAACTGAAGAGAAGGCCACAAAAATACATTTTTCCTTCAGCTGCTTGGCAAGGAAAAGCATCTGATCAGGTTTATCAGAGCAACGTGGCTGGGGCAGGCCTGGACGGCCTGGGGACACCAATCCTATTGACTTTGTTTTTCACAGATCACATTCTTCCTGCTCTAGTGTGAGCCAATAATTTCTACCTTTGGATGACAATAATTCAAAGATGAGTAAATCAATTGGATTTTTGTTCCTCAGCTTCATTGGGAGGTTTAAGATGTTGGGTGCTTTGTTAAATTCCTTGGAAATTTGCCATGTGCAGGATTGCACTACATTCGGTTCAGCCAGATAACACAATTCTTTCGTAAAGATATATTTGCAATCTTTACCCAAATTGTAAGTGTGCAGGAGAAGAAAAAAAGGCAGAAACCAATAGGTGAACCAGCAAGCAAAAGTTAATACAATTATTCATGTAGTCACCTTGTAGTCACTGTTCCTGCTGAACCTTTTTTTTTTCCCCCTTTCTCTGACCTATTTCTTTTGTCTAGACCATAAAATCTTAAAAAAAGCAGGTGTACCCTTGTCCTGAAGCATAGGAATATGTTAAGGTACCCCAGGACTGGAGACTTAAGGTACTTGGGAGGCCTTATCTCTTTGGGTGGGAATTGTCATCTCCAGCCTGGTCAGAGCATAAGAGCTTGCCTGGCCTTTCTCAGGCTCTTTGGAAGAGGGAAATCTTGTTATGTGCATTGCTGGAGTGCTTGCTGTGCTATTTTTATGCTGCTCAGTTTTTGTATGCGCAGCTGTAGTCAAGTGTTGCTTCTTGATCCCAGACAACTGAGATTTTCCATAACCTTTGACTAAGGAAAAATGTATCTTTAATCACAGCTCCCCTTCACAACAGGCAGCATGTAAGAAGATTATATAAATATTACATTAAGCACATTTTTTGGCAAATTGCTTGCATTGGTGTTGCATTTTTTTCCCACCAGTGTGTGGGTGATAGAAGAAATAAATTATGAGCTTGAACCATAATGGAAATGAATACTCTGGTCTGTGTTGCTTCTAATTTGGGGATTCCTCATCAATTAACTGCCTTGTTAAAATAACTGAATTCGATTTATCTACCAAGAACCCAGATCTGGGCCTGTTAAAGATAAATCCCCTTACTCTTGGTTATTGGTAGGTATTTTGTGATAAACCTGCATAGGTAGAAATAATTTTTTCTTGCTTAGGAAACAAAGATAAGGCTTTTTATTTTTATTTTTTTATTATTATTTTTTTTCCCCCTCTGGCAGAAAATTAGCATTCATACTATACCTTCTAGTCACAACTGAAGTGGAAAAGGTTTCATGACCAATATCCTGAAGATTAACTCCAAGTAGATTTTGGTGACAATTCTTCTTGGTCCCACCTGGTTTCAGACACTGATGACAGATTTTCAGGTTATTTCATTCAATTTGAGTGTAATTACTGGTTGAACAAATTCTGTGAGTGGATGAACAAGTGTTAATCCACGAAATAAAAAGCAACATAGGAGGTTCTCTGCATGAATAAATGCAGCATGGATTTATGACAGAGAATCTGTTTCATCCAGTTAATTTTGGTAGGGTGGCAGAGGTGCAGAGAGAAAAGGGGACCTTTGGAGGGCTCTTCTGTTCTAGGCCAGTGACTGTGAGGAGTCACTTGTGACCCAGGAGCTGGTTCATGCAGTCAGGGAGAGCAGACCCACATTCAAGGGTCGCTACCTCCACTATTTTAGAAAAGGGAAGTCAGATTAAACACAGACCACCCTCTTTCCCAGCTGCCTTGAAGACAAGGGAGCAAACACCTACCTGTGTGTTTATTCTGCTGATGCTTTGCACAGCACACACTCCCCAGGGCACGCTGGGTGCTTGTGTTCAGACATCCACAGTGGTTCTGCATCAGGCACCGTGCTGGGGTGGGAGATTCAGACCTCAGCACCACTGCCCTTGCTGTGCTGGATGCTGCCAGTTATCCATGTCCTCTTACTCTCCTTACACATTTGTTGCCATAGTGAGAAAAGCCAAGCCTCAAATACTGAATTCCCTGTTATCTCAGCTGGTGTCTGCCCTGTGCAGGTATCAGTTGCTGTGTATTAAAACAAATAAGATAATAAAGAATATATGCTTTGCACTGTGGGCAGGTTCCGCCTCCAAATTTTGGCTTGTTTTGGGTTTTTTTTTCCCTGCTTCAATTTTAACTTGGTTTGTTTTTGCTGAAACTAACCTTGAACTCTGCCCAACTGCAGGGGATTACAACTGTTTATGTCTTAATTGGGGCATAGGACCAGTAACCTGTCAAATCAAATTTTTCCTCCTGAGAAGTTACAGTCAAATGCAGGACAGTTGCCACAAAATGTTTTGCTGTATTATTTGTTGTTTGCTTGAAGTCTCCACCAGCAGATTAGAGCAGAGTTTGGAGCACTGTATGGTTTTGTGCTTAACAAGTTACTGGAGGAAAATGAGTTTACAAGGTGTTTTATACAGTGGCTTCACTGGAAGCACTCCCAAGGCCTCACTCTGACCCTCCTCAGGCTGTTGATAACACTCCTGCCGATTTACTAATGCCAGCACAGGACACTGATTAGTCTGTTTGAAAACCCCAGGGTGGAAAATAACTGGAGGGAAGTTGCTGCCAAATCAGAGCAGCGGAGATGCTGCAAAGAGGACAAGTGTTCTGCCTCTGACAGTCCCACCAGCAGTGAAAAACACAAGCCACACTTTTCTCAAGCAGAAAACGTGGAAGACCTTGCACCCCACACACCAGCCCTGCCTGAGGCTGGCCTGGAACACTCTCAACAAAGGAGCTGCTGCTGCTGCTGCTGCGCCCACATTCTTGTGGTGAAAGTCCTGCTCTGCTGCCCAGCCCCAGTAATGGCAGATTAAAAAAGTTATGGAACAAAGCGGGACAAGTTCTCCAGCGCAGAGGCATTTTTGTTTGTATAACATAAAGCAAAGTCTGCTGTTTGTGCTGCGTGTTTAAACACTCACTGAGAGCCCACAAACGGCGCTTCGGGGCTTACTTGGTTTTTTTTTTTCAAGTAACTTCTGAAATTGCAACCTGATGAATCAGAGGAATGAAGGCTGATATTCCTGCTAGTTCTCGGAAAGAAGGGATGTCAGGTCCAGGGCAGTAGCAGAGTCTGTGGCCCTTGAACATGACGTTAGATCTTTCTTAAATATGGTTTATTTTTTATAAATCTTTTCACATCTTTTCTAGAAATGCCTGAGCAAGGGAAAAGGTTTGGAATGGGTGATTTTCAAAGACAAAACAGAGATACAGAGGTACAAAGACATCATAAGAAAGAGCCACTTTAATTTTAGGTAACTGGTAGCTTGAAAATTTTGTGTTCAAGTCAGTGCTGCTCTGAATGACACCGAGGGGGGGGTTGGGATACAGAGTCTTGCATTCAAGCTCTGGAAATTATTTCTGTAGGAGTTGATGTTTCACTTTTGAAACAATAATCAGAAGTGAGCTTTGACATTGGACGTGGAAAAGAAGTGGCAAGTTTCAGTTAAAAGCATTAACAGGAAAGCAGTGAAGCCTTGTGCACACCCTCAGTGCTATTGGCATATGGGGGGTGTGCTTTATTCAAAGCCAATGGTTTCTCTGCTGCTCTGGCTAGCACCTCAAGCTGCTCACAGGCTCAGGTGTCATTGCAGGCAGTTTCTGTGCTGCTGCCTCATCCTCCTTCTCCTCCTCCTGGTCTCATGTTTCACTGAGGTACCTCTGAGTCCTCTTAGCTGCTCCTGCTGGGTGAGCTGCTCACCTGGAAGCTTTGGGCACCGCACAGCAGTGTGTGCTTGGGCGTTAGGGGGGCTAAACAGTGACCCAAACCTGCCCTGGGCTGGCAGAGCACCCAGCCCTCCTCTCTCCCTTGAAGCTGCAATGTGTTTGCACGCCCACGAAGCAGCCTGAGCTCTGAGTGACCAGCCCTGTGTGCCTCAAGCCTCCAATGTAATGTGAATGGAATAAAAGGCATTTTAAAGACTCAAGTGCCATCTCTTTAATTTCAAGTCATACAGTTGCCCTGATCTGCTTTTGGGAAGGATTTAGTTCTTCCAAGAGAGGTTTGTACTTGTGCACCAGGAGAAGCTCAGCATCCAGCTGCAAGAGCTACATGTACAGGTTTTCAGACCTGGAGCAAACAACTCAGCAGATGTTCAGTGCTTCCACATTGTCTGCTGGCACCACATGCAGTCTCTTTCTAGGCTCCATTCCTCAGTCTGGAGCGAGACAAGCTAAATTATAATCATATCCGTTGTCTTGGGTGTCTTTAGATGCAGTGTAAGAGGCAAGGACGGGAGAATAGCTAGAATAGGTAGGATGAATAAAGCAAATCTTCTTACACATTCAAAGCTGTTATTTGAAAGTGGCAAACTACATTAATGCCTAAGTTTGCATTATTTCACTAACAAGAAAATGAGCTGTTTCGAGAAATAAGGGAAGTCTGCCACTCTCCAGCCTTACTTTTCATTAAGAAAAGCCACAAAACCACACCTGGAAACAGGGTTTCTGCAGGGCTTCCAACTGAAATGTCTCTTTCCTGATGCCCACCTCAGTGCTTAGTTTGGTTAATGGATTGAGATAATACTGTCCAGGAGAACCTCAGACCAGCCCCCAGTTAGGCACCAGTAGCTGAACACCTGAAGCATATTAAATTACCTGAACTTAGGAGCACACAGCTCTGATCCCTTCTAGGCATAAGGAGGACTTGAAATTCATGGTAATTTTCTTTGTGTGAACAGCAAGGTGAACTTTGCTTTCAATTTCAGCTTTATATACAGGGCAAATATCAGATTCCCTGTAGCTTAGGAGGAGCATGTTTGAGTGTTCATTTAAGTAAAATCACATTTCACATACAAAAAATACTAAGATAATATTGTTTCCAACATTTACAGACAACATTTACCAAGCTATCTCTATAAGAATTAGATAGAACTATTAATTCTGGGCCAAAATCCAATTATGACTAATTTTTTCAGGGGCCCCCAGCTTGTCAAAGAGCTTGGTAATAACAGAGTGTATGTTTCTGAAAGCTGTGACTGGGGAATCCAAAGGCCTAATTATGTTTCCAGTGGTATAATCTCAGACCCTCCTTAATGTAATAATAAGAAGTGAACATAAGAAATGTAGTAGTTCTGCAGTGGTTTACACAAACCAGCTTAAAAATTAAGGGTGCAGCTTTGTAAGTCCCCCGTACAAACACAGTGCCATGCAGTGCAGTCCCAGCAGTGAGAGATTACCTGAATTAGAGCCTGAAATCAGAGAATTGAGCATGTGATTCCCCCACATCCAGATGAAGATGCCAACATCTTTATCTTAGCTGGGCCAGGGTTTCATGCCTTCTCCCAGCTGCTTTGAAATAGGTACAGTTAAGACTGTGGTCTGTGGTACAAAAATCAGTGCTTTTGCATATTATTTGTGGATTTAACTGCTTTGCATATGGTTATCCAGGGGAAAATCAAAGTGGGGGCATTGGTTTCAGTCCACTCCTCTGTGCACAGTGAGGGGTTGGAGTTCACACTCCCTCAACTACAGCCACACAATCACATCTTTTCGCCCCCTTTGCCTCCACTCTTTGGCTGTTCCCCATCATTCTTCCATTTCTCATCCTCTTCCTCTATCATCCCCGCTTCCTATGTCTTTTCCCATAAATTTTCTTTTTTCCTTGTGGTTTCTCTGGGGCATTACATCCCAAGCCCCATCCCAAAGGACAGCTCTTGGAAGCATCACAAGGCAGCAGTGGTGTTGCAGGAGGACCCTCCCACCCCAAAAGTGCTGCAGCAGAAGACGAGGAGACGCTGGTGCTTTCTGGTTTTATTAAGAGCCTCACAGTCAGGTTCTCAGTCCCATGGCATGGGTGCTGAGATAGTGTCACCCTGTCTGCCCAGTGTGTCCCCAGAGTGGGAGGATTGCATGGGGGCTCACTTGGCAAAGCCCTGGGTGTCACAGCGGGGTCCCTGCCACTTGTCATAGCACTGGCAGCTGAACTCCCTGGCCAGTTTGGAAATATCCTCCCCAGGCTCCAGGCTCTGAGCCAGCAGCCAGGGCTTGCCAGCCCGCAGGTCGATGGTGAAGCGGGAGGGGTCGAGGTGGAGCCAGCCCTGCCGGTTGTCCTGGCGCACGCAGCGGCCATGGCCGGAGCACAGGGTCCGGCTGCACAGCTCAGCACTGGCCGTCACATTGACGATGTAGTGACCCAGGGGCCCCTCCACGTACTCCTTCAGCCTCTGGCACACCTCCTGCAATGGCATTCGGTGTCACAGCCCTGCACAGCTGAGGAACTGGGGTGTCCCTGCTGACAGGGACATGGTGCCCCCGTCTACACTCACCTTGGAGGTGCTGTAGTCCAGGCTGCCCCAGAGGATGATGCCAGCAGCACCCTGAGCCGCGCTCTCCCCGATGGTGTTCATCAGGTCCTCCTGCACCCATGGGGAGAGGAGAAGTCAGCAGTGGCCAAAGCCCTCACACAGCAGAGATAAAGAGTCCGTGGTACCAACCCATCAGCCCAAGTGGTGCCCACTATCCCCACATCCCCATCACCTGGGAAAGGAAGTCCAGAGTGTACTCGAAGGCGATCTGGGAGTAGGGCAGGACGGGGATGCCACTGTCAAGGATTCCACGCTGGACAGCGAAAGCCTCGGCCACGCGGTGCCGCACGTAGGTGAGCACCTTGTTGGTGCCATTGAGGCAGAAGGGCAGGTAGATGCTGGGGTAGAGCGCCCGGCTGCTCCTCCAGAGCCAGGACAGATTCTTGTTCCTCTGCTGCTCCACATCTGGGCATGTCCCATTGTAGGGCAGGCTATCAAAGTGATTGTTGTAGCAGTCAGGGAAACCATAGAAACCCCAGTAGGCACTGGGACGGAGGCTCCTGCCCAGCCACAGGGTCTTGTTCATGAAATCGCAGGCAGTCTTCTCAAACTGCTGCTTGGCCATCTCCTCCACTTCCTTGGGAGGCCACTGTGGGTGCTGCTGCTGCACCAGCTCCTCCGACTTCTGCTGGTAGATCTCCATGGAGTCCCAGTTGCGGATCCACAGCGGGCGCCACTTCTCCCAGTCGATGACAGCCAGCCCACCACTGTCAGGGCTGGGCAGGGTCACCTTGATGTCCTGGGTGGCCTGGCGGATGTGAGTCTCCAGGCTGGCATTTTGGGGGAGCCCCCCATTCACTGGCACCCCCCCGGGTGTGTAGTAGGGTAAAAGACCCAACTTGTCGCTGTAGAAGAGGGTGATGTCCTGCCCAGTGAAGGACTGCTGGTCATTGGCCAGCACATCAAAGACCCCCAGGCTGAGGGTGACATTGTACTTCTCAGTGCAGCGCTGGGTGGGGATGTTCCAGATGGTGACAAAGGGGCGGTTCACGAGGACAGGACCCGGTCCCCCAGCGTGGGTCAGGGCAGGCAGGAGCAGCAGGAGGACCCAGCAGGACCATGCTGATGCCATGGTGCTGGTGCGCTCAGGGTGAATCCTGGAGCTGACCGCGGAGAGCTGAGACCTGGGCAGACCTTGACGCTTTTATCCCCAAGTCAGGACCGGCAATAATCCACACCTCCGTTCCCAAGCGGCGCCGGTCACCCAGGGTCACCTCTTCCACCTCCTCAAAGGCCCCGAATTTATCAGCAGCTGGAGCCCAGCAGAGCGGCCCCAGAGTGGGACAGCAGCGTCAGCCCCGCGTTACGAGCGGCGGGCTCGGCTGGTGAGGAATGCGCAGAGTCAACACCCCATGACTGGCCGGTGATGAGTGGGCTGGAAAGACAAACAGACGCGGACGGGGCGGGGGGAGGAAGGTCACGGTGATGGACTCGGGCTGCGCCGGGCGGGAAGTGGAGAGCGACGGCCATTCCCTGGCGAGAGGAGGGCACTGCTGGCAGGGAGCTCACGGCACCGGGCACGACCAGGCACCACACGGCCCGCGGTGGCACCGCGGCCACAGG